GCCATGGTTTATTGATGGCCAACCAAGTGTAATTCGATTTTAGCCCAACAATGGACTAAATTGCAAATTTAATGCTTTGAACATATATGTCAGGTTTTTAGGGTTGCTAATATTTCTGGCTTCACCACTACCTGGATTTGTTTTTGTTTTTGTCTTTTTGGTATTTTCTTTTATTATTAGCCATCAATACTATATATACATGCCAAGGTTTTTCTCAATAGATATGTCAAAAAGGGCAAGATATTGTTTCCTTAACAGTGGTGATATTTTCCTTTGATTATTACCTTAATAGCTCCGTCACTATAGCAAAGTATGGATATAAGTTATTCACCATGATTTTCACGCCGCACTTCTTGGCAAGCGAACTCTTTCACAAGGATTAATAACCATCAGTTGTAGTATCTTCTAGTGGGGAATGAGATTCACTAGTAGGCAATATTATAATAATTGTATTTAATTAAGCATTCAAGTTCAACTTCAAAAATTCTTGAAAAGAGTTAGATAAATAGACATTTCACTTGATGAAAAGTTAACTAAATCATGTCTTAACGACCTGCCTCTATACTAGAATAAGAAATAGAAGGTTCTTTAGAGTTAACTAATGGTGTAAGTACACGATGCATTGGTAAAGGTATTTTTGTAGGAAGATTTGGCATTGCTACCTCAAAGTTTAGAACCTAAATTGCTAGCCTGATTGATGGCCTTGAGCTACTATGAGGGTGAGAGCACCACATTCCAACAATCATCAAACATTCTACTTGTTTCTCGTCAAAATCCCTTTTCACTCGCTTGTCAACACCAGAATGAAGCCTTCCTTTCCCATAAAGATCCCAAACCCACTCCACCAACCCTAACTCAAACTCCTTCCCCATTTGATGCGTAGACTTTTTTCCAGTAACAATCTCTAATATCACCACCCCAAAACTAAACACATCTGACTCTTTATTTGCCTTCCTTGTACTTATGTACTCTGGAGCCAAGTAGCCAAAAGTACCTGCCAAACTTGTTGTAATTCGTCCTAACTCATGGTCCATCAACTTTGCCAACCCAAAGTCACCAAGTTTAACATTAAAATTGGAATCCAGCATTATATTACTTGACTTAATATCCCTATGCACCACACATTGCTCCCACTCTTCATGCAGATACAAAATTACAGAAGCCAATCCAAATGTTATTCTATACCTTATATGCCAAGGAATAGGGACTCCTTTTTCCAAAGAAATGAGAATCAAGACTACCATTTGACATGAACTCATAAACAAGCAAGAACTCACTCCTTTAATGGCACCAACCAATAAGCTGCACTAAATTTCAACGCCTTAATTGACCAATGATCTTCACCTCTGTTACAAACTCCTTTTTTTCCTTGTTTTGATCCTTTAGAAATTTTCTTTATAGCAATCAATATGTCTACATTTGCTAGATATCCTTTGTAAACTGTATTGAAACCTCCTCCACCCAATTTCCTATCTTGAGACAAATCATTAGTAGTCGAGGCAAGATCTTGGTACAAAAACCCTTGCGATCTGATGCCTATCTAAAAATCATCATTGATAAAAGTCAAATTTCTCATCCCTGCCCATTTATTTACCTTCTTCCTTTGCTTCATAATCACATACGTTAAAAGTGTTCCGATGAGAAGAATGATCATTAGTACTGCAATAACAACAACTATTTTGATCTTTCTTGACGAAGTCTTGTTGGTTTCCTTAGCATCCAAACTTGAATTGAATTTCCAAGATTTGAGTGTATATTGTCCAGGTACACCTATCGTAGAAGCTCAAAAGCTGATAGTCACCCATTCGTTCAAAATGGTCCTTAAATCAATTAGGTGAGAAAGGATTGAATTTTCCTGAGGATTTTTGATGTTTTGATAGCTCCAAGAAACACTCAAATTCATGGTTGTAAGATTATAAGTAATCAATACATTAGCAATATCTTTAATGTGGAAACTTGCATTCCAAGAAGTGTAAACGACAAAGCGTGCAAAATTGATGTTGATACCCACATGAGTTTGAACATCCATAGGATCCCATTCAAGGTTCTGGTAAGTGTCAAATTCTACCAAGATGATCCTATTCAAGGAGGAATATCTTGTTGTGATGTTGAATAGGCCAAGGTAGCCACTGCCGAAGTTGCGTGGGATTTGAAATCCAATGGGAGCAAGGAAGAACTCAATTCCATCATTGGTAATATTGGGACTCGACGCATCAATGTTGAAGGAGAAATAACAGATAAAGTCTAAAAGCTTTCTCGATTTGGAGTCCCACATTAGGACGTCTTTTGCATATGTAACCCAACCAACACTAAAAGATTTGACATTGTTGGTTAACTCCACGATTCCTAAGGAAGATGCTGCATCTCCTTTGTAGAGAATGTAATTGGGACTAGGGGTGAAGTTGGGTATTTGAAAGCTTATTGAATTTGAAGATGGAGGAAGAAGAAGAAGAAAAAGAATAAAGGAAACACATTTTGAACTTTCCATGGCGCAGTAGATGGTACAAAGTCTATGAAAATTAACACATATATACTAATTTGTACAACACTTGTTGGCGAAGTCATCCATATACTTGATTGAAAACTGTGACTATTATATATAATCCAACATTGACCAACAAATCAGTCACAAAATTAGTGGCGTGATTAATCTAATATTGACCAACAAATCAATCGTAAAATTAGTGACGTGATTAATCCAACATTGACCAATAAATCAATCACAAAATCAGTGGCGTGATTAATCCAACATTGAATAACAAATCAATCACAATTTTATATTTGAATTTAAAATCGACATGATCATAGTCACACAAATAAATGTTAACATGATATAAAAATATTATGATTGTATTTGATTTGGTTGTTAAGAATAACAACTAACTATAACTATTAATTGATAATTAATAAAATAGCTTCAAACACTCTAACCATGCAATCCTAACGTGTCATTAATGAATATAATGTCCCATTAAATGAATAGATGCAAGCACTAACAAAAATTGACACTTGATTGAAAAGAATTAATTATATAACATATCATGTTATAAGAAAAAACAATTAAAAGACAATCTTTTTGTATAACTTTTTCATACAACCTTACATGTCATTTAATGATAGGTTATTTTCATTCTACCAAAACTCATGGTATTGTATGCATCCACTTTTAAATGAAATGTGAAAATTATATAGAAAAATTGTATAAAAAGATTATCTCCATCAATGTTGTTGAAGGCAAAAAGCAAGGTGAACCTATAGCCTAAAAAATGCTACAACGACAAAGCAAGAAGCGAAGCGATCGCTTCTTTGACGTGAAGCAAGTAACACTTTGAAGTGATCAATTATTAAATAGAATAGAACTAATTAGAATAGAAACTTAAGAGTATTAAGAGTGGAAAAGTAAAATAGGGTGCAAGTAACAAGTTTAAATTAAATTCTACTTTACTTAGTGCAAGTAGAACTAAATTTTGTTTTGGAATTAAAATTCAGAAGTCTTATAAAGCAAAAGATTGACTATTTTAATCTAGACCATGCAGATGATATTGAGTTTCTTAATCAAGGTCCCCTAGACTAGATAGATCTGAATACTATAAGTTTGCCGACAAGAAATAGAACTGAAAGATAAAGGAGGGATAAAGAGGAAATGCATAGAATTAAGACAATACTAAAGAATTCTATTAACATTTACATGGAACTTTATCTTAACTAAATCAAGATAATCTGTTGATTAAAAAAAAAGAAGAAGAAGAAGAAGAAAGAAAGAAAGAAGAGAATATGTCATAAAGTTAGGGAAGAAGATGAAGTCAAGGAAGAAGAAGAGATGGGAAGGAGAATATGCAAATTAAAAAAAAAAAAAAAGGAAAGAAAGAAAGGACTTTCCTGTAAATGACAAATGAATTGATGAAGTCAAAAGACAATAGAATCACAAAGAAAATGAGGGGAAGAGGTAGTCAGCAGGCATAGAAGGTCTTGTTTTTTACCCTAATTGGAGTCAAATTTCCAATTTAAACCCTTAATGTTTCTATATTTTTTTGTCATTTTAAAACAGCAATCATTTCAACATTAGAGCGCTTTTATCGCTTCACTTTGCTTCAAGACTACTTCTTTTAAGCAGAGCACTTCAGAAATTTTGAAGTAGTGAGGCCTCTGATCACTTCCTTGCTTTTGACAACATTGATCCCCATATCATTATCTTGTTGTAAGCTTACAATACTAGATAGTATTGTAACTATATCATTTTGGAATTATAAATTGAAAAAATAATAATAATAATAATAATAATAATAAACACAATTATAGTACTTATGTGTGACCATAGCCATGACCCTAAGAAGCCTCTAATTTAGACTTGATTAATATTTATTTAAGTCATTTACATGTAATATATTTAAACAAATCAATCACATAAATATAAAAGTTTCATTATTTAAGATCTTATATAATAATAAAAAAATGTTCTGAATTTAAAACAAAATCAATTATGCATTAATTTTGTGACTTAGAATGCGAATAAGTAGCTACAGTTTATGTGACCGTGCCCCTAAGGCCCTAGCGAATATTTATGGCTAAGTAGCAAGTTTTGGAGCCTCTTCAATCAACCCGCGGTCTTTGCACTTAACACTTAGACCGTGGATGTAACGCGAGACTTTTTGGCCTAGATGTGATGCAAGACTAGAAATCTAATGCTAGCTGATTTAAGCCAGGAAGTCCTAATTGATAGTTCCTAGGGTGCTCACTTAGATATTAGATCGACATCTCAAACCAAATATTGAAAAACAAGTAAATCTCTATTGCATTTACAGGCCTTAAGCCCGGCTTCTGACTCCATAGTGAACTCAAAAGTACGAACAACAGCGCCACAGGGATCTTGAAATCTTTACCGCTTAGAAAATTTTGGTAACCTTGATTTACACGGACCAGGTTTTAAGAATACTAGTTAATATTGAAAATTTAGTCATGCCCATTGCAGATTGAAATTACTAGAAAAAACCCAAGTGCAGCCATGAAGGGATATTTGAAAGGTGAAAGGAAAGCATATAATTATGAGAAGGTAATGACAATAAAAGATTTATCCATCTATCTGTATTCAAAAACCTTCAAACACAGAAATTAATAGTTAATGCAAATAAGTGCTTTAGGAAAACAATTGTAGTATGGAATTAGTGGGAAATAGAAGTGTAAAATACGAGGTGTACTGGTAATAGGGAATCATGTTCAAGCACACAAAATTAACATAAACCTTCTATCAATTCACAATGCATGGATATACATAAATGTTCAATTTCTCCAAAATTTTTCCCAATTTAAATCAAAGACCCAACCCAACCTGACTCTTTTTTCACAGCATCTCCAATCTTGAATGTAAAACCAACAAAGCCTCACAATTTCATGGTGTTCAAGGCAATAGTTCATATAAGCACTACTAAAAACATTTTCCTCATGCAACAGGCAATTTTGCTTAAGCAATATGGGAAAATATTGGCCTAAAATCTCAGATTCCAAGACAGTGTTACCAGGAAAAAAAAAAAAAGTGGAATAGAACTTTCTATAATACAACTGGAAGCAGAGAAAGGCATGATACCATAACATTTAGCCATAAATTCGTAAAATTACGCACTAAAAAGAGATGGATTTGCTGATGCCGTCGCGACTTGCACTTCTAACAGCTCCAAACGACGCTCCAGCGTATCCAGCTTCTCATTCAGAGATGCCAATTTGCTCTTGGTCGTAGCCTCTGGAACAAAAATTGAACATAAAGAAACCGATTAAGTCAAGATCAAAGCACTACACAATGGATGATTTAGGTAATTGAAAAAATCGAATCGAAGGAGCGATCTACGGTAGCAGGATGGAGAATGGTGAGGAAAGGGGAAATTACCGAACTGGATGAGGAATTCGAAGAGACGACGGACATTAAGGGAGATGTTAGAGATGAATTCGCGGTTCTCCCAATCGGCTTGCACGGCGATCCCGACGTTCACGGCGTTCGTAATCCCTCCGGCTCGACCCATTTTCCTCCCAATTTCTATTTCAAGACTCCTGAGATTTCGCAGATTTCTAAATAGAAGCTCCTTTTGTTTTTAGGTTTTTCCAAGTCTCAGTAATTGATGATTTTATATAATAAATAATTAATTAATATTACTTTTTTTTAAATAGAGAA